AAAGGATAGAAATAAGGAGAGAAATGTGGGCCACACTGATGCTCTGCCAATTCTCATGGTGCATGACTCACCCAGACCTTACTTTGCTAATCAAAGCAGAGTTTGTCAATGAGATGATACATGCTGGCAAGGGTGTGGAGAAAAGGGAACCCTAGGACACTGTTGGTGGGGATGTAGATTGGTACAGCCATTATGGAAAACAGTATGGAGGCTCCTAAAGAAAGTAAATGTAGAACTACTATATGACCCAGCAATCCCTCTTTTGGGTGTATACCCAAAGGAGATGAAATGATCACCTTATAAAGATGTCTGCACTCCCAGATTCACTGCAACGTTACTCACAATAGCTAAGATATGGAATAACCTAATTGTTGATGAATGGATAAAAAAAGGTGTCTCTCTGTGTGTGTGTGTGTGTGTATATATATATATATATATATATATATATATATATATGAATATTATTCAGCCTTAAAAAATGATATCCTGCCATTTGCCACAATATGGATGGACTTGGAAGACCTTATACAAGATGATATGAGCCAGACACAGAAAGAAAAGTGATTGCACTTATATGTAGAATATATATAAAAGAAAAAGCTCAAAAACACAGAGAATAAAACATGGTTACCATGGTAGGGGGCAGGAGGTGGAAACAGAGATATAGGTTGAAGGATACTAAATAGCAGATATGCAGAATTAACAAGTGTAGGGAGTTAACAAACAACACGAGGACTAAGGATAAAATTGTATTAGGGATTTTTGTTAAATAAAATTTAGCTGCTTTTGTCACAAAAAGTAACTGTGTGAGGTTATAGATAGGTAAATCTGCTTCCCTACAGTAACCATTTTACTATTTCTGTAAATATTGGTATTTCATCCTAAATACCATGTTTTAAATCTGAAATATACACAATAAAATTTAAAAAACAAAATAGAGTTTGTCTCTATCAGGATTGGCTTTTGTGTGCCAAAAGGGTAAAAACAAAACCCTGTTTTCAGTGTTATGGAGGAGAAATGTAACAATGGAAACAGCCAGAGAAATCTGGAGTAAGTTACATGAAAATAAAGTACATTCACCAAAAAGGGCATTAATTACAAGATACCAGGGGTAACAGATAGGATGCTAAGGTGGTCTAGAAATTAAACTACCATTATGGAAGGAATGACACATTTGATTTACAAGAGGGTATAGCTTGAGGGAAAATGCTCCACAGTTGTTTAATTACACAGACATTTCTCATTCACTTTTAATCATGTTGTGAGCACCTGCTAAGTGCCAGGCATTTTGCGTATGAGAAGCACTGAGGTCAAAGACACATCACTACTGTATAAAATGCACAGCTCAGTGGTGTGATACACAAGCACAGACAGGTAACCAGAAAGCAAGGAGGGCATGGGAGAGAGGCCTCTAACTTTGGCCTGGGAAGGGAGAAGAAGTAAGACAAGAAAGTATTCCGTTGAGCTGATGCTTGAGCTGTGCACTGAGGAATGAAGAGTCACCAGTTGTGCTGAGCCAACAGAAAAGGGGAGGAAGCTCCAGAGAGCAAAAGAGCATGAGAATGCCTGTTGTAGTGAGGGCCTGCTCTCACTTTAAATGAATACAGACATAGCAGTATTGTTGCACAACGATATAGTGTGGAGATAAAAAATGGTGGCTATGGAAATTACAAAGTAACATTTAAGAAATAATGTTATGCAATGTTTTGCAAGTGGACTCTAAGTATAATTATATAAAACATACATATAGAAAAAAAGAAAATCCACAAAATAATAGTGTTTGGTGGGGGCAGTGGAATTATAGATATTTTTTCTTTTCATTTTAAGGTTTTCTATGGCATCGTTTGATTCATTCTACAGTTGAAAATTTATAAGGGCCAGGTGCAGTGGCTCAAGCCTGTAATCCCAGCACTTTGGGAGGCAGAGGTTGGCAGATCACTTGAGCCCAGGAGCTTGAGACCAGCCTGGCAACATGGTGAAACCCCATCTCTACAAAAGATACAAAAATTAGCTGGGCATGGTGGTGCATGCCTGTAGTCCCAGCTACTCAGGAAGCTGAAGTGGGAGGATTGCGTGAGCCTGGGAAGCAGAGACTGCAGTGAGCTGAGATCATAACCACTGCACTCCAGCCTGGGCTATAGAGTAAGACCCTGTTACAGGATAGACAGATAGATAGATCAATCAATAAATCAAAATTATATATATGTACACATACGCACACATACATTTCAAAGAAAGTCTACGTGAAAAAGCACAGTACCTTTGCTGTGTTCTGTGAGGTTTCTGTAGTGGAGGGACAGCTGTCCAGATCTCCTGAGAGAGCATCAATGGGGTCTTGGTCATCTGCAGGCTTCTGAGATATGAGTAGAAATAACCATCAGTGAAGAAGCAAAATGCAATATGGTGTATTTTCCCACATCACTTACAAATAAAAGATGTTTCTGTATGAAAAAAAACTTGCTGACATTCTTTACTAACAATAATGTATTGTAAAGGAGACAGAAAAGTAAGAAAATCTTGACGGCTTTATTTTCCTCTACTCTTTAATGTACGTTGCTTAGTATTCTCTGAGCCTCAGTTTTCTATCTTAAAGGACTTTTGTGAAGACTAACTGAGAGGTAAACAATAGACACATACATGTATATGCATGTTTTGACAAAGTACCAGGCGCAGAGTAGGCATTCAATATGCTTTAGTTTTTTAAAATGCCGAATAACCCTAACAGGATGTAATGGAAATATGTTCCTATGGTCTTTACCTTTGATTCCTCTGATTTCTTTGTAGGTGGCTTCAGTGGTTTGTCCTTAAAAATAAGGCAGACTATTGGTTAAGCATAAATCTTTGTAAAAATTTACTTAGGTTTAGGCAGTATTTAGAGAATCTATTATCCAGTGACTTGACTTGGATAAAATGGAGTGTAGACTTGCAATAACTAACAAACCTGGGTCCCTACTGTTTATTCACCAGCTTTGCTTAGTTTCTATTCTTTAAAATCATTTCTATAGACTTGGGAGAAACGTATGAAAGAGTCTGGTACTGGAAGTGAAAGAAATGCTATTTGTGAACCTTCGGCCATTATGTATTATCAATTATAATTCTACTTAAAGTGTTATAAAAAGTTATCTGTGTTTTTATATCTTATTTACTATAGCTTATTACACTTAGAAAGTCATCAGGGATCTTTCCCATCGTCAAAGGCAAGGGCCTTGAATAATACATTTCCCAAAGAATGCAAGCAGGGTGAGTTGGTACTATCAAAGTGGCAAGGACTCTAGCAGGATGTGGAATTTCTGTCTTGAGGAATACTGAATGCAAGCAAGGAGAATTGGTTCCTATAATAGGCTACCCTGAGGCTGACAGTGCTATTTAAATCAAGAGTCACCTTATGCATCAAAATGAATCAGTACAGAAAGAGAAGGGTGTAATGTGCTCTTCCTTGTGTTTTATTTGATGAACAGGCATGGAAAGGGTAATTTTTCATCTAATTGACTAAAAAGTAGAAACCAAATAAGAAAGAGGCATGGAACAGTCCTGGTTGACCTACAAAAGACTAGCCTCTACCATGTGGAAGACAGAAGGCCAGGGACTTTTTGGTGGAGAAACAGGATCTGTGATTGGGAGTATTGCTTTGCCTGTATACACTTTCAATAGTGCTGGTGGTGATGTAGAAGATAGGGAGACCCCAGGTCTTGGAGTTGCCTTATTGATTTTACTATTGATTATCCCAACACCAGCTCCTCTTCTGCTCTCCTTAAACAGGGATTACTTTCTTTGAAATCCTATCACCTTAGTCATTTTTATAGCTTTTCTTGAAAAAGAGAATCACATTTCTTGGATCACTCTTAAGCATCAGTAAATGACTGAACAGGATTCAATCCTGTTTATACCACAGAGCCTAGCATATACATGTACAATGATGTTGGCTCAAATAAATATTTACCTGCTGGTCAGCTTTGGTGACACATGAAAAGCAGTCAGTTATGATAAGTTTTTATGCTATTGTAAAAGAGTGCAGCTACTATTTATTTCAAGGGAGGTTTGAATTTAAAGATCTTTGTAGCATAAATCCGATCTAGCAATTTGCCTCAGTTTACCTGTCCATTATCATCCAGGAGATGTCTGTATTCAGGTGGGATAGTGTCGTCTCTTTCTCCAAGCTTGTCTCTATGTTCAGCTTTGGCTTTTTCCTATATAAACGGTGAGAAGATATAATTAATATTCATTTCCTCTTTCATTTAGAAAATACATTGTCAAATGTAGCATTCAGTATTTGTTATATTTTTATGAGGCAAAACATATGGTCTGTTTTTATTTTTTAAGCAACAGAACAACACAGATGACTTCAACAGGCTGCTAGTTGGCTAAAATACATAAACCCATATGCTTCTATATGTCAATTCATATCTGTGAATTTTCTAGCTATATTTTAAATTGAAATACATGATTAAATAATTATCCTCAGAAACCATGTTAGAAGATTAGAACCCAAAGGTATAATATATCTTTTTCTTTTTTTCCTGTATGGTTTAACTTTTCTAAAAAAAAATCAGGCCACTGTACCTTGCCATTTAAAGAAGTCATATTTACAACTCTGCCTATTTATAAGCAACCCTGGGACAATAGCTAATTTGAATGGATGTGCTGACTGCCAGTGTTGCATGGGAGGAAGCCATGCATAAGCCACACCTACCTCCCAGAATCTCCTCCAGGAGGCTCCGCTGGTCTCTTTACCACAGATTCAGTGACCTTCCCCTCCAGTGGAGTACAGATTGATTTTTCTCTATCATTATAATTTCATTTTTTAAATATAGGTTAAGTTCATATCAATATTCCTAAGATAATGATAGAGTCAAGACCCAAGGATTAAAATTTCAATTAGTGAATTTTTTTTTTTTTTTTACCTTTACTTTATCCTCCATTGGTTTGTTCTCATCTGGGTCAGGCTGCCTTTGTCCTAGACTATCAGACAGTTTATCCAAGGCATCATCGAGGTCTTTGTCACTCTGCTAAAAAGTAAATAATACTGAATTAGTCACTCATTAGCCAAACTACATCAGAGGCAAATTAGCCCAGGAATTCCATCCTCTAACCTGTTCCTCAGAAGAAAAAGACATCTAGGGGTGGGGCAGGGGAGTAGACAGGGTCAGAGAAGAGAAGGCTGGGAATGGAAAGTCAGGAGAAGACCAGCAGCATCTGTCAACCTATTGGAGTTGGAGGTCCAACACTTTGCATCCACCCTGCCTGTCTCTTGGCGAAGATCCCACCAGGTTAAGGAGGTCTTAGTGGCAGCATCAAGAGCCACACCCAGTGGGTGGCCTGGAGGTCACATAAAGGGTCCAAATGCAAATGAACTAATCATGTGTGCCTTTCATTTAGAAATTAAACACCATTAGAAAACTGGACATGAAAACAACATCCACTGATGTTGTCAGATGGTTAAGGAGCAGGATTCTACAATAGAGGGTGAGCGTTTCTTTGGTTCTGTGGGTCCACTGTAAGACTCTTAAGATCTTGAGGGGTGCATTTCATAAAGTGCCGCATGACCCGCAGTTTGTGGGAAGCCATGGAGCTTGGCACGGCCATCCTAATACTTCCTAGAGCACAAAACCCCAGAGACAATCTCGGGTCAGGAGAGTGGAAGGGGCTTCTCTGCCACGCTTGTGATGAGTGGCCTGAAAGACTTCTGAGAATTTCTGAACTGGTGGGGAAATCTCTCTTTTCATCTTTAGGAAGCTCATGGAAGCTAAATTGCAGAAATGGGAGCTGGTATTCTAGAGGAAAAAAAATGTGGCCGCTGGAATAACAATGAACGTTGTAACTAAGGTAGCTTATTTCCTCTAACATTTATTTACTATATGATTCAGGCAGCTTATTTAACCCCTTTGAGCCTCAGTTTCCTTGGCTGTGAAATGTGAATAATAGTAGTACCTATACTCCTACGTTGCTGAGAAAAGCAAGTGATTGAAAAGGTGTTTAAAACAGTACTTGTATGTTAGGACCCAACAAATGGTAAATTATTATTATTACAGCAAAATCCTAAGAACTTTTTTCAAAACATTTTTCAACACATTGCATTCAAAATGTTGACTTCTACCTCTAAATGAAATCAATTAAAAATGTGTTTAACATCTACATTGTATAAGGCACCATGCTGAACTCTGTCCAATACTGTATAGAACTTTCCAGTTGATTTTCAAAGTGCTTTCGTATACATTATCCAGTTTTATTTGATGCCAACAATGGTTCTTAGTGAACTCAGAGGCAAAAAGCTCTTTGTTTGGAGGTAAAAAACTCAGGGAAGTTAAGTCAGTTGCTTGAAAACAAAATGTTAAAAAGTGAATAGAACTCAGGTCTTGGGACTGATAAAGCTTTTCCCTGTCATGCTTAGCTACATCCATGATCTTCTATTTCCTTTGAAGCAGTTTTTCCTGTTGGAGTGATTTTATTACACAGATTTTTGAAAATATGTTTTCAAATGCTTTCAGTGTATGTAACATTGCCAGTGACAATCTAATAATCTCAGCAAAGGAAACTCCCATGAATTATCATGGCTTATATGACTCTGATTTCCCAATATTTTTATCTAAATAAAGCTTTATACCTTGTTTTAGTGACATCTTCAAATAAAATCTTAACTAAAAACAAGACTCTGATGGGAAATGTGATGAGAGAAGTGTCATTTTAAAACCTACTTCTTAAAGGCAAAATAGTTTTTGATTGCAAATATTTACTATTTCATCAGGGAAGAATCTCTGGCCCAAATATTAAGAACTGAAGTATAAATGGCAGCCTAGACTTAAGGATTCTTCCTTTTTGTTGCATGGGGACTGCGTATGTTTACACACACACACACACACACACACACACACACACACACACACACAGAGCATTTTACTGGTTTTAAGTAGTTTACTATAACCTAGGATTATAGCTGCTAATGGTAGAGCTGCCCCAGGGCCAGGTCTGGGCTTTGTCATTTGTGCCTCTGGATATTTTCAGATGATCCTGAAGCTGATCCAACAGGAGGAAAATCCATCAGAATCTCAGACTACAGCACTAAATATGCTTTGATGCTACATCAAAAGGAATGGAAGCATAACTGACTTCACTAAAGCTACTTCATCTCCATCTAGCAAATGAGGCACTTTTCTCAACCAAAGGAGATGGGGATCTGGTTTAGGGCAATCCCTTTATAATTTGATGTGCTGTGGTCTCCTCGATAATGTATAATTTGGTATTGCACAGAGGTAATTAATCAAGGAAGTCTGGAAAAGCTTTGGTCCCACAGCCGTGCCTCAGAGCATGTAAATAATTAAAACAATATTGATGCTGAGGTTCTTCCACTGCTAGTATGAAAGTGACAGATTTTTACTGGTGTGAATTGGGAAGAAAACAGTGCTATTCCATGACATGTTTGCAAAATTTTTGTTTGTTTAGAGAAGCTCAAACACAACAATTCCATAAAATAAACCAGAGGTTAAATAAAGGGTAGTAAATTACGGCATGTATAAGGAAAAATGTATAGGAGAAAATCAATTATCAGGAAAGCTAAAGAACTTTTCAAATCTAGTAATTCGAATATAGACACAATGCACCTTATTACACTTTCAATTCTCGTAAAGCGACAATAGTATTAAGGTCCTTGACTGTGTATAGTATTTTCACATATATTGTTTCATTTAATCATTTCAAAGTTACTCTCTGCCATCTCCCTAAATTATCAGTCTCGGCTCTTCTGAAATAGAAGGTGCCGATCTTCCTAATAATTCTGCCTATTTTCATTTGCTTTAAACAGGTGCCCTATTTTCTTTCTGGTTGTGGCTACTGCAAAAACAAATATTTATCTCCCAAATAAGATGTACTGCTTACCGAAGTATCACGGGGTGGGGCTCCAGAGTGGGTTGTTGAAGCTGGGGTTTGGGAAACCACTTCAGAGATGGCAGCAGCAAGTTTAGCATCTTCAAATTTCTTTTATTGAAAAAAATTTTATTAGTAACATGTTATATATAAAATTATGCCATCACTTAACTATAACTCTTAAAGATGGCTTAATGACTGTTTATTCTCTTGATCCAAATAGATTCATAATAACATAGAATTATTATTATTTTTGAGATGGAGTCTTACTCCATCACGAGGCGGGAGTGCAGGCATGATCTCGGCTCACTGCAACCTCCGCCTCCTGGGTTCAAGCAATTCTCTGCCTCAGTGTCCTGAGTAGCTGGGATTACAGGTGCCCGCCACCATGCCCGGCTAATTTTTGTATTTTTAGTAGAAACAGGGTTTCACAATCTTGGCTAGGCTGGTCTTGAACTCCTGACCTTGTGATCCACCTGCCTTGGTCTCCCAAAGTGCTGAGCTTACAGGCGCGAGCCACCACACCCAGCCAATAACATATAATTTTAAAAGCAATTTAAATTCTCTTTCTTCTCTATCACATTGTTTTATACAATATCCTATTTCTATTTCCTTCTCATATTTATTATTGTAAATACAGTGCAATCATATAATAACTTAGAGTTCCATTGTTTGTTTACACATTTCCTGTTGTACATTCAAGTTATTCAAAGTTTTCAGCTCTTTTAAAATTGCTCTGAATAAGTTCTAGAAGTGGGTCTTTTTATGGTGCTGGCTATATTCTGCCAAACTGACTGACCCCTCAAGTGTTGCTAGGAATTCATACTGTGAAAAGCAATGAATAAGCATGCCTGTTTTCCCATGGTCTTGCTTGCCAGGATTTGACTTTTTTTTTTTGAGACAGAATCTGGCTGTGTCGCCAGATGCCAGGCTGGAGTGCAGTGGTGCGATCTCAACTCATTGCAACCTCCGCCTCCCAGGTTCAAGTAATTCTCTTGCCTCAGCCTCCCGAGTAGCTGGGACTACAGGTGCGCACCACCATGAACAGCTAATTTTTGTATATTTTAGTAGAGACAGGGTTTCACCATGTTGGCCAGGATGGTCTCGATCTCTTGACCTCAAGATCCACCTGCCTCGACCTCCCAAAGTGCTGGGATTACAGGCGTGAGCCACCGCAGCTGGCCCAGAATTTGACTTTTCTTCCATATTTTTATTTCTGATAATGAGTGTAAAATGATATACTACTATTGCTTGCATATTGTGCTATATGGTGTCAGGTTTAGTTTTTTTTCAATGTTAAATATTACTCCAGAAATTTTCTGAAATAATTTCCTTTTAAAAAATATTGCATATTTGTTTCATTTCAAATACTCCCTTTTGACAAAAAACTTAGGTATAACTGTTGATGAAAAAATCAGAAAGAAGTCCAGAACTCTTTGGTGACTCCAACTATGGATAGCCTGTTTTGAAAAAAGATAATTCCAAATTTTACCGAAAGACGGAGAAAAGCACATTAAAAAGATACCAATATTCAGAAATTTATTTCAGCATGTTATTATTAGAGATTACTTAAACTAATTTAGATAACTATAAGATACTTTTTGTCCATTTATACTCTGTAAAGCCATTTTAGAATATTTTAGGTAATCTAAAATGTACTAAATTAAATACAACTTATTTCTAGTTATGAGAAATCTTTGCTTATATGACAAATGAAAAGAATAACAAGTTGTCAAATGAAAAGAATGACATACTGAAACATTTGTATTGTCTCTTCTTAGACTATCTTATTGACATCATTTAAGTTTTTTAATACTAAGTATGAAACAATCTATGGTCTGGAAATTTGTTTTGCAAAGCTATATGTGCATATGTTATTTAATTCATCTGATATTACACAAAAGTATAAAATAATGATTTTTCACTCTTTTAAAAAATACTAAATCTATCATTTATGTCCATTTCTCAATTTTTCCATTGATCTATGCTATGAATTTGCTCTCTAAACATTACTGTATTTTCTATTTATTTATAACATATGTTAGTGTTTAGTTGGATTAATCTTACCTAAAAGTACTGAAAGATGCTTTTCAGTATTTTTTCATATTTTATACATTTATTTTTCAAATATATCTTTGAATAATTTTATTGAATTATAAAAGTATGTTGCTATTTAATAAAAAATTAACATATAAAATGACTTGAATTGTCATCATTCTTTTTAAGATATTTAGTTAAACTGACTTAATGTATGGTCTTCAATTTTTTTGTGTACTTCTTTTTCTTTTTCTTTTTTTTTTTCCAAGAGAGAGTCTCGCTCTGTCGCCAGGCACCAGGCTGGAGTGCAGTGGTGCAATCTCGGCTCACTGCATCTTGCCTCCTGGGTTCAAGCAGTTCTCCTGCCTCAGCCTCCCAAGTAGCTGAGACTACAGGCACACCCCACCATGCCCAGCTAATTTTTTTTTATTTTAGTAGAGAATGGGGTTTCACCATGTTGGCCAGGATGGTCTCGATCTCCTGACCTCGTGGATCCACCCGCCTGGGCGTCCCGAAGTGCTGGGATTACAGGCGTGAGCCACTGCACCTGGCTATTTTTCTAATCATTTCTCCTTTGTAGTTTACATAAATCTGATTTCTTATTAGTTAACGTTTTCTCATCTCTTGTTACTAATATACATGGCATAATGTTACTTACAAATATATTATCTACAAGTAGTGCTATCCACAAATATATTCAAATGTTCCCTTTTAATGTTTGTTATTTGTTTTTCATGTGTTGGTAATGATTCTTCCATACGATAATAAGCAGAAATGACAATAAACTTTTCAGTTTTTACTTTTAAGGAAAATGCCTCTAACATGATATCGAATATTTGATTCTAAAAACTAAAGCCTCTTTAACCCATTAAGGGATTGTCTATTTTTTAAAAGTTTTTAGTTATAATATGAATGTATGTAAAATTTTAAATATATATTTTACATGGACATAATAATTTGATCATTTCTATTTGATATACCACTACAATATATTGACAATTTTCCTGCTACTGAATCAATATTTATGATAATGGCAAATAGTTTCTTAAACATTTGTTATGTTTTATTTATGTTGTATGTAATTTTTACATCTACAGGTTTAAGTAACTTTAGCTGATACTGTTATATTTGTCAGATTTTAAGGTTAGCACCATAATTACTCATAGAAGCAACTGTGTGACCCCATCTTTTTCATGACATATTTATGCCACATAAGAACTGAGTGTTCAACAGTTAAAGGAGTCATCTTTAAATGTTCAGTAGAAGGAGAGTTTGAGAACCAATGCAATCTTTTCTTCAGTTTTTTTTTTTTTTTTTTTTTTTTTTTTGTGAATTATGTAGTTTTATATTTTTGTTTAATCTTAGAAAATTGTTGTACGTAGTGTTTCCTAATAATTTAGTTGTGGTCTTGTACTGATTATTGTATTTTCTCAAATTTATGTTACATTTAGTTAGTAAGATTATTTTCTCTATTATATTTACCAGTGTTTTGTAAAATGTTAAAAATTCATAAAAACCAGCTGACTATTGGCTTTAAACTACTAATAATTGAGTTGATCTCATATATTATTATATTACTCTTAAAATTTATTTTTTTGTAAGATTGTTTTCCTCTTTTGCATTTGCTAGTATTTCATAAAGTATTTGTTATTTCAAAAGAGACAACTATTGCCCAGTTAACTTCCATGCTGCTATTTTCATTTCCTGGTATGCTTATTGCTACTTTCTTTGGGGTGGTTACCTTATTATAACTTTTAGAAATTTTAAGTGTAAAATTCAATAAACATTTGGTTTGTCAGGTTTCTCTTTTTCTCTATCTCCATTATTGATGAAGGCGTTTATGACAATAAATGTATCACATGAATACTGCTTCAGGTGCCTCTCAAAGATTTTTATTTGTGATATCTTTGATGTTGTAAAATAGTCTATTATCAAGGTGATTTCAGTATTATTAGGAGAATATTTTTAAGTTTTTCTTTTTATATAGCATTTATGTTCTATTTTATTATGATCAAAGAGCATGGTATGTACGGGAGTTACTCTTTTATATATGAATATTAATTATGAGCCATATGTGATAGTTTTCCCCCAAAGTTCTAGGAACTTTCCCCTAAATAACCTTCTATTTTGATTATTTGGTTCTCTTATTAGTTATTTCTACTTTCTTAACTATATTGTTGACACTAATGTTTTTCTTTCCTACTTTTTAAGAGCAAGAAATTTTTTTAAATGGTTGTTTCATCTCACCATTTCACTGCTACATATCTTTGAGGGGGGCATATATATGCATTGTTGCTTTTTCCAAATCTTTGAATTTCTAAAAGAAAAAAAAAAACCCTAACTATTGTAATAACAATAGCAGGGGGACGGGAATTGAGATCGTGTTCCCCCACAATTTGTTCATATGTTCTGCATCAGTGTATTGATATGACTCTCCACAGTCCTGGGATACTTCTCATATTGTATTCTCCCCTATATCTTATGGTTTCTAAATTAAGGCTGGAGTGCTTTGCCTGTGATGTGGTCTGTATGGAAGAGGATGAGGGGAAGGTCATGGGATGAGGTGACTGAGCAGCATGGTGCTTTTACAGGGGTACAGAGAAGAACATGCTCTGGTT